CCGCAGGCTTCCTTCTCTCCCGGGTCCCTCCGGGTTTGGCCGGTGGCGACCGAATGGCAACTGCCAGGAGCGAAGCAGGCAGCCCGTCTGCTCGCCTACCTTCTTTTCTGTGAGAGGGGGGGTTTGGGTCATTTTGAGAGAATTTGGAAAAGCACAACTGCTTTTGGAAACCTTTTTTAGGAAAGTTGTGAAAACGCCAAGCTGGGGGCTCCGGTATTTTTGCCCACGCACAAGACGCAAAATGGGAACTGATTTAAAGGAATACCTCAGAGAGGGAGAGAAATAAATCCAGAGTCATTCAGCAGTTAAAAAAAAAAAAAAAAAAAAAAAAAGGCCAGAAAAATTTCTCGTCTTAAACGAGCAGTCACGGAAGACATCTCTTTCCTTGTATCAAATGGGAGATATTTTGAAGAATTTTCCGAAACGAAGCGCCTCTGAGACGTGTATTTTCTGCTCCAGCAGCGGGGTTCTGTGTTTTGCTGAGTATCGTCGTGCCACCGACACAGGAAAAATACAGCTAGGGAAGCAAGGAGTGTTGACATAGGATTTAATAGTTAGCGACTTTCTCAAAGAACAGGTTATCTCCACCTGGCAGCAAGGTGCTAATAGGAACTAACAGTAAGAATTTTGGCACCGTGCAGAATACTTTCTGAACTTGTAAATTAACATAAACTCAACCAATATTATTCTCATTTTGGAAACTTTACAATACAATTACTGCAGACTACTAAGATCACTCCACTGACCCTCAACCATACGACGCAGATATTGCCAAAGCGAATTCCCTTATTATTTCTCAGAGCCAACACTCGTTAAAAGGAGAATGCAGCATCCCTAATTTAAACGTTAGTTTTCCCGGGGAAAACAAAAGAAAAAAAAAAGAGGAAGAAAAAAAGGAAAAAGAGAAAGCAAGAAAAAATGGTGGTGAGCCGTCTTTTAAAGTGAAAGAAATTTGAGAAGTCTGTAGGAAAACGGTCTAAAGGTGACTAGACTAGTGTTGTCTCTTGTCCAACCTGCAAGTCTTCTGCAGGTTATTTTTCGCTAGTACAAATGTAATTTAATAGGCGAGATGGATATTGTTTCACTTTCAGCTATCTGCTCTATACTCCGGTCTCATTCTACACTAGATGATTACCTTACTGTCCTATATGCACAATTTAAAGGGAATTACCTATTACTTCAATTATTTGTTTCTTATCAACTGATGTTACACTACAAGGATTTGCATTGAAAGGACACAAAGAAAGAGCAAGTCATGGCACATTGCCAAATAAAAGAGTAATGTTCTGGTGAATTTAGCCCAAATAATTTACTGCTATATAAAAGTGGAAAAGTGGAAGGTGAACCCTTTGACCAATAAATCTCTTCTGCATGTGAAACCCTTATCTTGTCCCCTCCAATATATTCCTCACTAGGAAGCCATCATCATTGGCTCTGGTTTGTTATTTGTAAACCTTGATCTTCTGCACTCGGTGTCCTAAATATGGATAATTAGCATCAGTTTATCACGCCTCTGCATATTTTCTCTTCTCTCCAAACATGCATGCTTCTATTGGCTGCCATTCTGTCACAGAAGATTATGGAGACAGATTGCAGAGAATGAATGTGCTAAACGAGATTAGGAAGGAATAGAAATAGCAACTTGGCCAATAAATTCCTCGTGAGAGCCTTATCATACAATTACACGTTGACTTGTTTCACACTCTCCCAGCCTCTTAATCCAACGCCCCCACCAAGAATAAAATTTCACTAATTTCTGAATTACTGCATATCCTCATGACTTGTCACTGAGAATGGCTGGAAGAAGCAACACGGTCGAAAATAGCACCTCCAACTTCCAAAAAGCAGAGAAACTTTGCAGGCACGGAGGTGTGCCTTGGAACCCTTCGTGGCCGGAGGTTTTGGGCCGCCGCGGTTTGGAGGGTCGCGGCTTCAACGTCACCGTGTTCCTCTACGCTTTTACCCCCTAGGTCTTTACGTTGGGGGTGACGTCATCCTTCAGGGGGACTCGGGGGTCCGGACACGGTGGGCTGATGCTGCTGAATTCTCTTGGGCGATCGTCTGCTGGGCAACGGGCTCCCACCGCGGAGCCCTTACAAACTCATCACCCATCCACCTGCGGGACGCTCCTGAAAACGCGCTAATTGCCAAGATGCCACAAGCAGGAGAGCCCAGGGGGGGCAAAATCCCGCCCAACTTAGGGGAAACCTCCACCAGCTCTCTGGAGTTAGCTTTGTCCCTTCTGCCGCGCTTATTTCAGTGTGGGCGTCAAGAAAACACCGTGTCCGCGGCGGAATTACGAGGCATGGCAAAGCCTCCAGGTGCCATTTATTGCAATTTATGAATGGTGTGACAGTGTCGTTCCCAGTGTAGAAGGACGTATGGGGAATAAGAAGACCCGAGGTGGGAAGATGAAGCCTTGCCCGGTTGCTCTCTGCTCTCAGATGGGTGCCGCAGTGCCCTTGCCTTCCCGTTTTAGCAGATCGGAGGGTATTTTGAAGCATTTCTTGCCGTGAAAGCACTGCTTCGGAGAGCAAGGTGTTTGTACAACTCGACTAATTGTTTCCCCTCATCAGCGCCAACCTTCAAGCACACACAGGCTTTCAGAACCCGGATGAAAAGTATGACGAAATGGTGCTACGTATTCCGCCGTTGCTTAGCGTCACTCCCGCCTGTGCAATCAGATGCTGGGAAAGTTTTGACGCAGCGGTACGCGCCGCAAGCGCCAAGGATGCTCAAAAGAAGCGGATTCCCTCCAGCGGGACCTTCCCTGCGTGGGTTTTTCCCCGGGGTGGAAGAGATCCAGGCGGCAGAGGGGCGTCCCCGCTCCCCCGCACTGGGGGCGGCGGGGGGACCCCGGCTCTGTCCCCAGCTCGGGGGGAGCCGCCACCCGGGGCTGTGGCAAAGCCACCCTGCGGGTACCCGAGAGCACCAAGTGCCCTGTGAAAACTTCACACCTGGGCCCTCTGAGCCGTCATCAGGCGGGTGTGCTGGTGGTGGTGATGGTGATCTTATTTTATTATTTTATTTTTAACCCGCCCATTGCTTTTCTCTTAACTCTCCCATGGAGTTTTGCTTGGCACTCAGTCACCTCTGGATGGAAACCGCCGTTGAGGGTCACCTTCACCCAGGGCCTTAAAACCACACGGGTGCAGAAAAGCTGGAGGTGACAGAAGCGTGACCTGGCGAGAGGGCAAGGCAGCCCCGCTACCTGTTTGCTGCCACAAAAGCCTTTGCGCTCACCGCATAAAGTAAAGAAATTAACACCGCTCCCTGATTTCCTTCCTCCTGTTCTTGTTATACACGTAGGCATGCATGCATATTCCTGTGCGCGTATACGCGCGCACACACATATATAGATATGTATCTATATGTACACACACTTGTCCGGAGTGAATTGGTTAGCTGCATCGGGGAGAGAGGCGCTTGCCATTAATCTGGGAACAAACCGCTAACCTCGGTGACTGGTATTTTAGCTTTTCTTTTCTCGCTTCTCTCAGTGCGGGGAGAGCAGTAAAGCTTGTGTGGACTGATTGTGAGGGGCTCTGCTGGAATTTGGCAGGCCAGGGGCTTGGAGAGAAGCCCCATGCTGACTCCTATTCAGCGGGCCAGTTTTCTGCGAGCTTTGGAAGTTTCACTCAGCCGTGCACTCAATGGCTTCACAAAGCTGATTACAAGCTTCAGCGCATTCCTGAAGGAGCCAAAAGCGACGCAGGTGCAAACGAGCCGAGGGAGCCCCTTATCCCGGTGACAGAATGGGACAAGCTGGGAAAGGCTCGGACCACACAAATCCAAGGCTCACCAGGCAGCAGCGAGCCTGCCTTGGGAACCGGGCATCATTATCCGCTCCATTCAGCGGGGACCCGGCGGCGGCAGCGGCACGTCCCGGGGCTGGGGACGGGTCCCGGGGCTTTCCGTCCCGGGTGGGAGCAGCGTGGCTTCACCTGACCCCCCCCTTCCCTTCGCTTATTCAGGGACCGGGGGTGCCCCGGCCCCCCCCAGCTGATTTCTGCCCCCGCAGCTGGGAGGCTTCAGCCCGACGCCTGAAATACCTCGCCGGTTTTTTTCCCTGTTGCCCCGTCACACACGAAAAGCCTTTCTTCCCCCCCCCCGCGTCCCTCTTCCCCATATAAACACGGTGCTTAAGGGTCTGTCTGGAAATCCAGCACAGAAAAGGCACTGAATCGAAATGGCAGGTTTCCTCCCGATTGAAGTTCTCTAACAAACACCCTGGTTTGAAGACCGCCTTTAATTCCCGAGAGAAATCAGCCGAGAGCGCACCCCCCCTCCACCCCCCCCCATTACCCCAGCCCCCCGATCCCCACAGGCCCCTCCCGCCCCGCCAACGCCGGGGCGATGTTCCGAGCCCCGGTGGGAGCAGCCGGCGGTCCCGGCCCTTCCTGTCCTCCCCGGGGGGCCAGG